TATATATAAGTTTTTTAGATGTAAAAATAATCAAGATGAAAAAGTAATATAACAGTTTATAACCCAAATAAAGTAATAAAAAAAATTTCGTCACTTTTTTTAAAAGTTCGATTGTGATTCCTAATATAAAATTCTGCGTCCGTCCCTGATAATATGTATATGAATAAAATCATTTAACCAGGGTTTAAAATAGGGAGGAATGAGACAGACTGATTTGACAGTAAATAATTAGTATTTTTTAGTTTAATTTTTCAAACTGTTCAATCAAACGTTTGACATATGTCCCACTTGTTTTTGAACCTGTATTTGTAATATAATTGTATATATATTCACGAAAATTGAAGTAAACTTGAGGTTTGGTGACAATAGCGTGGATATGTAGGCAAACGATTATATGACTTCACAGTTGAGTAGGCTACACCTTTTTTTACCAACCCTATATTGCAGCAACCTAACTTATTAAATCCACCGTTTGATTGAAACTTAGATACTGTTTGGCTAACTTGTTTATTAACGTTCAAATCACTTTTTAAACACAGTTACTATCACTTATCCAACACTCATTTGTATATATTTTTAAAATTAAACTGAAATTATAAACTCTTCCCAAACAAGCACTTATATGGGATATAAAACAATAAAATTCCTCTAAAGGGAGGGGACAGAATGAAAGAGTACATTCTTTCAAAGAAAACGAAAGCCCATAAGCCCTTTCATTTTCTATGTTAATCCTTTCATTTACTGTCTTTTTCTTTTATTTGCAGCTGTCTTTCTGTGTTACGTCTCTTTTTCTGCTGCCTTTTATAGCAACTACTCTTCCCTTTCGGCCACTCTCTCAACTTCTTTTCTTTCTTCATCTTTTGCAGCATTCCCTTTCTATCTTAATTCCATCATATTCATACTACTAAAACATTGATTCAAACCGGCTTAATTCTGTATTTGTTGCTTTTTCACTTTCACAGCTACAACTTATAACTTTCTTGTTCAAGTTTAAATTCAATGGCCAAGAAATTTATACATCAGACAAAAAGTAGACATCTAATCATTTTTCTGCACTTTCTACTCATTTCAAGCTTAGCCCCCCTCAAATTCATGGCTCAAGGTAACTGGGTTTTTGCTCCAAGTTGTTTCTAATTATCCATCATTAACAAGCTCAAGACAGTACTTTGAAGTTAAATTTTCTATGCTTTTGAATGTTACAGGAAGAGTACTGATGCACAAGCCTGATAGTGAAACTACTCAGGTGAGGTTTTACAATTTTTTTTTCCTTAAACTTTCTCCACAACCCTTTTTCGAGGAGAGAATTATAGTGAATTAATGACAATATTTGATTTGTTGTTTAATGAAATGCATGCAGGGACAGGGAAGAAATGGAGAGAGGTTAATAATGATAGGATCAAGACCACCAAGATGTGATAAAAATTGTGTGGCAATTCAGGTGCCTATTGTCCCCAGCATAAAGAAAACAAGTACTGCTCAATATTTATCCACGCAATATTCAAGAGGTGATGACATTTCAAACTACAAACCCATTTGTTGGAAGTGCAAGTGTGGCAACTTCATCTTCGACCCTTGAACAAGTACTTCTTTTGGATTCTTAAATTTTCGATCTTTCTCACTTGCTCCAACGGAACAGCGGTTTCACAACGAAGGATTCTCGAAAAAGTTAAGGATAAGTAGTCTTTTTTAGAATTCGAATGGATTCAGTCCATGTGTAATCTGGGAATCCCAGTCATCATTTGTACAGAAGTACTCTATTTTCCTGCTATATTAGTTTTTGTTATTATGCATTAAGGTTAGAGAGATTATCTCTGTGCCCCCATATTATTTTCACAAGAATGATAAATTATGATTAATGTCATGTTAGTAGAAAATATTACTATTTATTAGATACTAATTCTAGCTGTAATTGCATATACAATTGAACTATATGCCCTTTTGCATAACACAGTAAGGAAATGTCTATTTTTACTTTGGCTTAGGCGAATACGACTTAAAATGACTTGGTCCATATTTGGTACGTAAATTTTAATCTAAGTCAAACTGAATAATTAATTTTAAATATATATTTCATGAGATCCACAACTTTTTAATCATATATTTCACCCCTGTTTGTTTTCGATTATTTGTCCATTAAAATGAAAACTTTGAGCGTTATCTATCACATCAAGCCATCATATTTGACTTTCTATCTCCTATGTGGTGTCTGTAACGATTATATTTTTCATTCTCATTCCTATATTAATATGGCTCAAACGGGACCTTCATCAACTTATATCAAAATATAGTAAAACTTCGATTTTGATCCCCCACCAAACAATGGGATAGTGGCATGGGACTGTTTTGTTTTGTTATTGAAATGTTTGTAGTTTACTTTATGTATTAAATTCAATATTAATAGAGTTGTGGAAAGGAGTGGGAATGTGAGGACAATAATAGGTATGGTCCATTTCAATGAGAGAGAGTGTGGAGTAGATATGGGAACAGTGGTTTGTTACAATTTTCATATCTTAGGAGATCTCAAATCCCACCAGCAAAAAGGCCTTTTCTTTCCTCGATTTCATAAATACTGCATTGCTTATTATCAACATATTTTAATTCAATTAGACAAAAATGTCGACAGAATCTTGTTGAAATTTAAATCGTATTTTAAATTTAAATCGTATTTTAAATGTAATAAAATGTAAGGGCATGTTTGATACAAGCTAATTCCATGAAAAATAATTCTATTTTCCACCCATTTTTCTTATTCGATGGACAAAATTTTCCATGGAATTTGGTTTCCACCCTAGACGTGACCATTTTTCTTGGTTTCTAAGAAATTTGTTTTCCTTTGGTTTTGGTGGAAAAATGTTTTCCTTTTTTTTTTCCTTTTTTTTTTTGACAATGGAAACAAATTTTATCCCTTTAATTGACAATTTTCATAAAAAATAAAGTCAAACGAACATCAAAAGATACAAAATTTCAATATTTTCCACTTGAAAAATTATACAAATCAAATACATTTAATTGATAATTCTCAATAAAACAAATTGTAGGTAATTTAATTCCCTAAAATTCGTTTTCTTTCCATCCAAATTTCATTTGTGCAACCAAACGAACCCTAATTTAGAAAACTTGATGGGGAATCTCGTCTAGACCTCCTCACATCCTCATAAACGGGGATCGGGACATTTGAGTAACAAATGATCAATTAAAAAATTCATTTGTTATTCATTTCTCAATCAATATGAAAATCCACCGTTTGTTCTTCTATTATTTCTTGTTTTCCTTCCTACAGGTACTATGGCTAAAAGAAATTTAAAATTGTATGTAGTACAATTTTTACTCCTTCACTTTTCATCTCCAACACAATATGGACTGCAAATCTTTGTTTATTCCATGTGTTGTCAATTTATTTTATGGAATCAAAACTTGGTTCTTACAACAAAGGGTCAAAACAAAAGACAAAGGCCAATTACAACTTAAAAAACAATCAAAAGAACAAATGCATAGCGAAAATGAAAATTTTTGGACAACTGAGTGATACTAATATAGAAAAATTAAAGGCAAATTTGTTTCCTTTTTATTTTTACACTTACATGTTCGTTTCCCTCTCCCTGCACATGGTCAAGTCAATTTTACACAGGTCAAACATAAAAGTACGTAACGTGTTAGTCCATCGATCCAACCAGGACCGGCCACGAGAATTTGAAGGCTCTGGACGATTAATTTTTTTTAGGCCCTCAAACATAAATTTTTTTTATAATCACAACACTACTTAAATATTTAACCAAATAATATTTCTATATCAAAAATGAAGATTTCAGGCAATTTAAAAGTTAGAGTGGCAAAATAAAACCCCTCTTTCAACTTGAGAGATTAGACTAGTATAATATTTAATATTCTCACATTTTGATATGTAAAAGGAATAGGTACACAAATTTGAGTTATTAATGTTCAATGAGGAATTAAATATAAGAATGCAAATTTAAAATTCATATATTAAATTAAATATTTCTTACTAACATAGAGAATATATAATAATTTTTATCTCTTCCTATTTTATGTGCTGTGAAGTAATATATTTCCTTATGGTAAGGTCAAATTTGCTTTTAAAAAGTTTCAATATTAGTATCAAGTCAAAAAGTAATATAGAATTACTTATGATATAGATCTTCTATTGGGCCTGGGCTTTGTTTTGAACATATTACATGAAAAGGTCATTAAAAATCTAAAATTAGAGGTAGCTTTGGGGGAAATTTATTTATTTATTTATTTATTTTATTTTTTGAGGCCTTTAAAATTATGATGTCCAAGACAATGGCCTAGTTTGCCTTGGACCAGGGCCGAACCTGGATCCAACGCTAGTCAATTTTGGCTATTCAATATTAACAACATCTAATGGTCATTTCCTCGATAAACTCGAAATTGACGTCGTCCAATGATCTATTATAGAATTTACAAAAGAATTTTATTTGGTTATTGAGAAAGATAGAAAATATAGAGATGTCAAAAATATGTCTCGAATGGAAAGAATTGAGTATAGTTGGCCAGCAATCTTTTGGGCAGCAGGCTGTAAAAATCTTAACCAGACAGCGGACCTGTGCTGGAATTCATTGTGAGTGCACGAAAGCGATACCAATGTTGTCTTACCATTGAAGAGTTGCAAGTTATATGAGATTATATAAATACATTCAACAATTTCAATGCTAAGAACAACTTATATATCTAATCTAATACATAAAAGTCCCAGTGCGGGAGAAATATTTTTGAGCCATAATGTCCTTACGTTATCTTATAATTCCTCATTTGACCTTCATTTAATTTTATATGACAATTTAATTACAAATTTTATTGCCTACTGCTCTTAAACTTGATCCTCGAACTCAACATTTTTTTTTTTTTTTTTGTCACTCATATTTACTGCCAATATTGCCATGGTAACTGTTGGTAGATTTGGTTCTTGAGTTATTCTTCGCTAGCTAAAAACACATGCATGATTTATATTCTATTAACATGCAAACTATGGATAGAGTTTCAATTTAGTGAAACCAACTTAAAGACATTTCATAAATGTAGGAAATATAAGATAAATGAAGAGATTACGAATCTCCATAAGACGGATTTCATCCCTATATTTATAATAACACGATCAAACGGAAGTCTATCTCCGAAGATACTTCTTCCAAAATTTATATAACACAATACTAATTTTATCGGATGAACCAAAACTTGATTATACTTAAAAGGAAAAAAAAGAAAAAGAAAAAGAAAAAAGGATGTTATCGAACATGAAACTTGAAAATAATTTGAAAATTACTTTGATATAATTTGAAGAAAGAAGGAATAATAAATCAATTATTCGGAATTGATTTGGAGAGAAGAAAATGGAATTAGTAGGGCCCAACTTTCAGATTTCAATATATTATTTCTCAATTGTTGTATTTTTTGGCATAAATTCATTTTAATCATTAGATCATACCATTTCAGATCTAGAGATGATCTAGTCCCTTTCAAAATGTCATGACTCTTTAATTATTCAATTGTTAATCATTTTATTCTTAGTTTGACTATAAGCTTATTTTTATATTTGAAATAGTTGTACTCAAAAATAGTTTCCAAACTATCCACTAAAACTTGATCACCAATAATAAGTGTATTTTATGCACTTATTTAAGTTGTTAAATATAGGTATTTGAAGTACTTTTAGGAAATTATTGCTTAATCTCATGTAAATATTGTTTATTTAGGTAAAACTTGATGTTGGACGAGCTTTCGGAGAAAATGAATGAAAATCGGACAAAAAGGACTTTTTGGTGCATTGTTTTGAGAGTGGGGGATCAATGTCGTATACTTTAGAAGATGAAGGGCCTTAATTGCAATTATAGGGGACATATACTGAATAGAAAGATAAATTCAAGGACCAAACTGAAAATAGAAGAAAATGCATTGTCGCATGGCAGAAACGCATTGCTGTTGCTCGTCTTGATCTTAGAAAGTAGAGGCTGAAATCGTTGTACCATGTGATCGTAGCTAATTGTATCATGCAATCACATGGTACAAAATTCTAGCATAGATTTTGGTTTCTTTTATGGTTTCGTCCAATCTTGGAAATCAATTTTGACCTCGATTTAACCTACTTGGAACCTCAACTTTGAATTGTATCATGAAGAACAAGGCTAGCAAAAGATCAAATGTGAAAAGCATCAAGATATTGAAGATACAAAGCAAGAAATTGAAATTTATTTATTTATATTTTTTTTTGCATTTTGATATTTCGGGTTGATGAGTTTCCCATTATCTTGTTGTAATTTCAAGATATGCTAGGCTAAGTATTCTAGTATTGAGATGAAGATGAACCTAATGTTTTACCATTTTAATTCAAAAATCATTGATTTAGTGTTTTTTTTTATTGATTATATTAATGATACTGTAATTAAACTCAATATGTTAAGTGATCAATTTGGACCGTTTTACACCTCATGAGTTATATTTTATATAATTCGATATGGGTCTTCCATTTTATTGCAAATTTCATGTTTTATAAAACAGGTTAAATGTATGGTTCATAATGATACTGTGATTAAACTCAATATTTTAAGCGATCAATTTGGACCGTTTTACACCTTATGAGTTATATTTTATATAATTCGGTAATTTAAGTATATGGGGCGGAAATATGTAGACCCTAATTGGGGTTTAAGTTGCTAATGGGACGGCTCAATAAATTTCTATATAAAGGCTAAATTCCATCTTCTCTCCACATGTAAACACTGTAATTTTTTTTGCCTTTTAAGGCAGTTGGCGCCTGG